GATGAAGGCAGAATCTCCCCGGTCTCCGGAAATGACCTCATGCGGGGTGCGCCACTCCACTCAGGATAGCTCAGCTGCGGAGGCACGTTAAAAGGGGATCCCTCTGTCGGGCTTGCCGACAGTACGGCCATATGGCCAGAGCGTGCCCAGAACAGATGAAGTCCGAGCCGACGTTAAACTTCCGACCGCCGCAGCAGCCGGGCATCCTGCGGCGGTATACACACCAGAAGCTAAGCCCTAAGCATGAGGAACACGACCTGTATGCCAGCAGCCCCGTTATGGAAGCCGAGTTGGAAGGCCAGAAAGTACGCTGCCTAGTTGATACAGGGTCGGAGTGCACCCTTATGCCTCTGGAGTTCTTCGAAAGACACTTTGGCTATATGATGGAGCGGAAGACGGGAGCGTCATTAAAGCTGACGGCTGCCAATAACAGAGAGATGGACGTCCGAGGAATAGTGTGGATGCGGGTCCGGCTGCTTGGGCAAGACATCGCCAAGAAGGGGTCGTGCTGGTGGATCATTCGTCCCGAAGAGGGATGGACGTGACACTAGGTATGAACGTGCTGAGACACCTAGACCACCAACTTTATGCCAAAGAAGGGCCCAGGTAATGGCAATGGGCCACCACACACCGGCCAACCCAGAAGGTTCTACAGCAGATGGTGAGGAGCTGTAGTCTGCGAAAGGGCGACATGTCCGGTCAACCCATTGGACACGTGAGGGTGCTGCGGAGGACCCCGGTGAAGATCCCGCCTCGACATGAGCGAATATTGATGCTGCCGGTTTGGGGCTGGACGGACGACTGAATGGACTGGAGGTCCTGATCGAGCCCGCTTACCAAGAAGAAACGCAGACTTATCCACTGGTAGCCCGGGCCCTCACTATTGTGAAGGATGGATGTGTGCCTGTACACTGCCTCAAACGTTGAAGACTGTGAGTTAACCGTCCCTGGGAATACCTTGCTATCGGCCGAAGTTTATGTGTCCGAAGGGGATATTCCTCAACGGAGGAGCTTCACGCTACGGCCAAATAGGAGATCAGCCTGGACCTATGCTGTAGAGGTCCATCAAAGGGAGACCCCGACAGCGGAGTGGAGTGGTAGAGTGATCATGGCCCGGTTGAGGGTGAACTGCAAGATCCTGACTCCAGGACAACAGAAGTTGCTGGAAGACACCCTTTGGGAGTTTCAGGAGGCTTTCTCGAGACATGAGGACTTCGGGTGTGCCTCCACCATCGAACACGAAATCCCCACTGGCAATGCTGCACCGATCAGGAATGTTACCGGCAAATCCCACCTAAAATGTACAGGAGGTGAAGGATATGGTGGCCAGCATGTTGGAAAACCAGGTGATCCAGGAGAGTCAAAGTCCTTGGGCTGCTCCAGTAGTATTGGTGCGGAAGAAAGATGGGAGTCTCCGTTTCTGCGTGGATTATCAGAAGCTGAATGCCCAGACCGTCCGGGATGCCTACCCCCTTCCGGATGGATTGAGGAGTCGTTGTCCGCCCTGTGTCATGCGAAGTTCTTCTCGACTCTTGACCTGGCCAGTGGGTATTGGCAGGTACCGGTGGCCAAGAAGGACAAAGCGAAGACGGCCTTCATCCTACCTATGGGTCTCTACGAGTTCAACCGGATGGCATTCGGCTGGTGTTGGGGTTGCTTTCCTCGTTTTGTGACTTCACTGTATCATGGGGAGCCCACCCCGGTACAAGGCTTACAGCTGCAAGATCCTCTAACTGAAGAGAATGAAATATATATGTGAACCCTTACTTTGTAAAACAACCCATTCATTTTTTAAATAGAAATTTAAAGGCAAAATATTTCTGTATATTGTGACAGAATGAGGCTCTGTCACTAGTGAAAATATAGGAAAATGTGACACAGGATTCCCATTCAAGGTAAATACAGAGTTCAAGAATAGTGTTTCTGTGCAGAGAAAGCTGTGTCTTTGGCTTTTGCTGGATTCTATAGTTCTGGATCAGAACATCCAATACTGTTATGTGGGTTTTGCTAGACGCTTGCAACCTGGTTGACTACAGAGGTGTGTAGTGTCATGATATACTCAGGTCTGAGGATAGCTCAGAGCTTCCAGTTTGGAGACCGCTCCTTGTGTGGGAGACAGAAGGTCTCACCAAAATGTTTTGGTATGCTGATGCCTTAAGAATTCCCTTCACTGGAACTAAGGGGCCAAGCCCAACCCCTGAAAAACAACCCCACACCATAATCCTGTTGGGAATGCAAAACAGCATGTACTATAATGTACTATATATAGTATTGTGTGTTAATATCACTTGACCAGTAGATGGCACTATTACACTAAAGGTTACTAGTTGTGTATATCTGAAAACTTGTTTGTTCCTCACTCTCTCTATCATCTCTTCAGGAAGTAATTGAGTCTGTTATACTGTCTGCTGAAATGTGCTCTGTATGTTTGTAACTTAAGCCACACAAGTAAAGCCTGAATTCTGCCACATCACTACTAGTGTCTTCTATAACACATAACCAACAGGTTATGGGCCCAGCTCCAGACACTGGAAAAAGGAAAACTACAAGCAAGTAAGTGCTGCATTTACAATCCAATTTACTGAAAAATGGCAAGTGCTTCAGATATGAAGTTTACAATAGCAAAGCTCAACAATGCCAACTACCAGCTGTGGAAGTTTAAGCTTGAAATGCTGTTATCCAAAGATGACTTGTGGCAGGTACTAGATACACACAGACCCAATGACAACCCAAAAGAATGGGACAGGAAAAACAGGCAAGCAAAAGCAGTCATAAGCCTGTTAGTGGAGGACGATCAACTCATTCATATAAGGAAAGAAAGCACAGCTAAAGGTATGTGGACTGCATTACAAAAGCTGCATGAACGTGCAAACCTAAACAGTAAACTATATCTGCTACGCAAATTGTATAAGATGAGGCTGGAAAAAGAGCAGAAAATGGGGGTGAACATGTAAATGCTATGCTAGAAATTGTGGACCAGCTGGGTGCAATAGGTGAAGATTTAAAAAGCAACCATGTTGTTTCAATACTTCTGTGCAGCCTCCAGAATCATACAGTGCCCTTATAAATGCTCTAGAAACTAGACCGGAAGCTGAACTGACGCTAGAATATGTTAAGGGAAAATGAATTGATGAATACAGCAGAAGAAAGGAAAATTTGCATAGTGAAGAGAACGAGAGACCAGAGGCAGCTCTGAAGGTGCATGAAGGCATAAGACAAAGCAAAGAAACCAGGGTATGTTTTCGCTGCAAAAAGGCCGGTCACCTGAAAAAGAACTGTTCAATCTGGAAAGCTGAGCAGCGAAAGCGGGAGCTACCCACAAGAGAAAGAGCTAAAGCGGTCATGAAAGAAAATGAAAGTGCATCATGGAGTGGTACTTTTAAAGTGACTCAGAATAGTACCTCACATGGATGGTACATTGATTCAGGGGCAACAAGTCACATGACAAGCGATGAGACATTCTTCACAGAAACTGATTTTAGTATAAAAGATAAAGTCTTCCTAGCAAATGGGAAAAGTATTACAGCGGAAGGTAAAGGTCAGGGATTTCTGACCTGCAAAAACACCATCAGGGGGCAAGCAGAGCATCCTTGTAAAGAATATTCTATATGTTCCAAGCCTAGAAGGAAGCCTCCTATCAGTTAAAACCCTTGCAAGCAATGGACTCACTGTCCAGTTCAGAGGTAATGAATGCACAATTCAAAATGGAAAGCAAATTCTAGCAAGAGGAAGGTTAAATGAACATCTGCACAAACTCATCACTGAAAGTGAGAAGGCCAATGCGGGGAACTCATAGCCCACATGACAATTGCATCCACCTGTGGCATAGAAGACTGGGGCATCGAAACCCAGAAGCTATAAAGGACTTTGCAAAGAGAGGTCTATCAGAAGACATGAAAATATTGCCTTGCCACAAACTCAGCAAGTGCACGTGTTGCATCAAAGCAAAGGCCACCCGAACCTCTCTTCCACAGACCAGTCAGAGTAAAACCATTAAACCAATGGAACTGATACACAGTGATGTGTGCGGACCAATGAAAGGTTATCATACGCTGCTAAAACACATCAAACACAGGAGCCAACATCCTGGGAAGACATAGAAACTTTGCCGAGAAGGGAAGCTGATCAGTGGAGGAAAGCAGCTGAAGAAGAAATAAAATCACTTCAAGAAAATAAAACTTGGTTACTAACAGAACTCCCTCCCGGTCGCAAAACCATCAGAAGCAAATGGACTTTTAAAGTAAAATATGATGCAGAAGGAAACATCCATAGATACTGTCAGGGCTCCCGGGTATGACCAGAGGGTGTGTGACTGACGCAGGGAAACGCAGGCTTCAGATATGTTATAAACAATATAATTTATTAACACTAACAATACAAACATAAACGCAGTGCAATACTAAAACATAACACAGTGCAAACAAACCAAACCAAACCACCCACAGATAACAGTACATACAATGCAAGCGTCGTCAGGCAGGCCAGGTCAATATCAATCGGGCAGGTAGGTACAGGGGGAGCAAGCGGAGAATGGTCGGGGTCACAAGCCAGGTTCAGCAGGTAGCAGACAGCGAGGTACAGAGGGTCACGCAGAGGAGAATGGTCAGACAAGCCAGGGATCAGGAGCAGAAGAATGGTCAGACAAGCCAGGGATCAGAGCAGGGTCAGCAGAGAATCAGACAGGAACAGGAAACAGGGCCCAGGAGAAACACAACACCAAGGCAGAGTCTGCAGGTCTGAATGTCCCTTAAATACACCAGTATAATTAGTTCCAGGTGTTTGACTGGCTGCAAGGTTGAGTCTCTGATTGCTGGGAGCACCCGCTGGCCAGCCCTGGTACTGCAGCTCACAAGGCAGGTGAGTCCCACTATTGCTGGCCAGTCCATTCCTGACAGTACCCGCCCCTCAAGGAGCGGCCTCAGGACGCTCCAAACAGTCCTAGCTGGGCAAAATGTTCCACCACCCGGGTCTGGTAACTGGCGGGATATGAAAGACTGGCACACCGGGCAGGACTCCGGGCAGCGGCACACCGGGCAGGACTCCGGGCAGCGGCACACCGGGCAGAGCCACACCGGGCTGGACTCCGGGCTGAGGCACATCGGGCTGGACTCCGGGCAGAGGCACATCGGGCTGGACTCCGGGCAGAGGCACATCGGGCTGGACTCCGGGCAGAGGCACATCGGATTACCAGGTGAAGCAGCAGGCACCGGGCCCCCAGGCGGGGCGACAGGCATCGGGCCCCCAGGCAGGGCGACAGGCATCGGGCCCCCAAGCGGAGCGGCGGGCGCCGGGCCCCCAGGAGGGGCGACAGGCATCGGGCCCCCAGGAGGGGCGACAGGCATCGGGCCCCCAGGCAAGGCGACAGGCATCGGGCCCCCAGGAGGGGCGACAGGCATCGGGCCCCCAGGCGGGGCGACAGGCATCGGGCCCCCAGGCGGAGCGACAGGTCTCAGGCCCAGGCGGAGCGGCGGGCACCGGACCCCCAGGCGGAGCGACAGGTCTCGGGCCCCCAGGCGGAGCGGCGGGCGCCGGACCCCCAGGCGGAGCGACAGGTCTCAGGCCCCCAGGCGGAGCGACAGGTCTCAGGCCCCCAGGCGGAGCGACAGGTCTCAGGCCCCCAGGCGGAAGCGACAGGTCTCAGGCCCCCAGGCGGAGCGACAGGTCTCAGGCTCCCAGGCGGAGCGACAGGTCTCAGGCCCCCAGGCGGAGCGACAGGTCTCAGGCCCCCAGGCGGAGCGACGGTCTCAGGCCCCCAGGCGGAGCGACAGGTCTCAGGCCCCCAGGCGGAGCGACAGGTCTCAGGCCCCAGGCAGCGGAGCGACAGGTCTCAGGCTCCCGAGCGACAGGTCTCAGGCTCCCAGGCGGAGCGACAGGTCTCAGGCCCCCAGGCGGAGCGGCGGGCGCCGGACCCCCAGGCGGAGCGGCGGGCGCCGGACCCCCAGGCGGAGCGACAGGTCTCGGGCCCCCAGGCGGAGCGGCGGGCACCGAGTCACCAGGCACGACAGTGGGCACCGAGTCGTCTGGCAAGACTGCGGGCACCGAGTCGTCTGGCAAGACTGCGGGCACCGAGTCGGCTGGCAAGACTGCGGGCACCGAGTCGTCTGGGAAGACTGCGGGCACCGAGTCGTCTGGCAAGACTGCGGGCACCGAGTCGCCTGGCGGAACAGCGGGCATCGAGTCAACTGGCGGAACAGCGGGCACCAAGTCGTCTGGCAAGACTGCGGGCACCGAGTCGTCTGGCAAGACTGCGGGCACCGAGTCAACTGGCGGAACAGCGGGCACCGAGTCGTCTGGCAAGACTGCGGGCACCGAGTCGTCTGGCAAGACTGCGGGCACCGAGTCAACTGGCGGAACAGCGGGCATTAAGTCAACTGGCGGAACTGCGGGCACCGAGTCGTCTGGCAAGACTGCGGGCACCGAGTCGTTTGGCAAGACTGCGGGCACCGAGTCGTCTGGCAAGACTGCGGGCACCGAGTCGTCTGGCAAGATTGCGGGCACCGAATCGTCTGGCAAGACTGCGGGCACCAAGTCAACTGGCGGGAACAGCGGGCATCGAGTCAACTGGCCTAATAGGATCATCAGGCTGGATCAGTTCATTATGCTGGGTAGAAGCATCCGGCTGAGTAGAGGCATCCGGCTGAGTAGAGGCATCAGGCTGAAGAGAGGCATCAGGCTGAAGAGAGGCATCAGGCTGAAGAGAGGCATTCGGCTGAAGAGAGGCATCCGGCTGAAGAGAGGCATCCGGCTGAGTAGAGGCATCCGGCTTCAGGCTGAGTAGAGGCTTCAGGCTGAGTAGAGGCTTCAGGCTGAGTAGAGGCTTCAGGCTGAGTACAGGCATCAGGCTGAGTACAGGCATCAGGCTGAGTAGAGGCATCAGGCTGAAGAGAGGCATCAAGCTGAACCACGGAAGGCAGGTTCTCAGACAGTAGGCTCACCGGTTTGGATACTGGCAGGATGGTACTGGTTGGAAAGAATTTTCACTTTTTTCTGGTTTTAACTACTGGGGCACTGCAAGTAAACGCAGGTCTGCAAACGAATGGAGCAGCTGGAGACAGAGAAGAGCTGGAGGATGGAACAGGGGAAGGAACAGTCGCTACAGAGGGCTTCTTTACAGGGTTAAAGGCAGGATAGGTGCAGCGAGTGGGAACAGGGTACTGACATGCGGTAGATAGCCAAGTATACTGGGCTGTAACTGGAGGAGCTGTTGGGAATACAGGAGTAGAGCTTTGAGGAGATAGATTAGAAGCAGGACTGGGTCTTTGTAAGCTGACTGAGGCTGGGTGTAACAAATCTGTCCATGTCTGCAGTATGGGTTGAACAAAGCTGAGCTTACACAAAGCCTGTCTGACCAAAGACTGCACTGCGTTTATACAATCTCTTAGTACCTGTGGTGAACATGTGGAATAACGCTCCAGAAAGTAACCCACATCATCCTCTAATAACCATACCAGGGACTCTACCTGGTCTTTACTAAATGGTGGCAAAAATTCATCCCTGCATTCGGGGGTACCAGATGAAACCAACTCAGCACAAACCTCAATCAATGGCTGCACCTCAGAGAACTCTGTGCCCTGATCTACTAGAACATGAGCGAGCCGTATACATTCTAGCAGTTCATCCCTGGGATACCCTTCAGAGTTTGATAAGCATACTCCCTGTCATCAAACACTAGCAGATATAAATACGCAACCTCATCCAGATCCATCCTTCCCATCAACAAACCAAGATGGCTTCCCTGTGCAGCCACTTCTGGTCAGGATGGGCCTTGGTGTAATGTCAGGGCTCCCGGGTATGACCAGAGGTGTGTGACTGACGCAGGGAAACGCAGGCTTCAGATATGTTATAAACAATATAATTTATTAACACTAACAATACAAACATAAACGCAGTGCAATACTAAAACATAACACAGTGCAAACAAACCAAACCAAACCACCCACAGATAACAGTACATACAATGCAAGCGTCGTCAGGCAGGCCAGGTCAATATCAATCTGGCAGGTAGGTACAGGGGGAGCAAGCGGAGAATGGTCGGGGTCACAAGCCAGGTTCAGCAGGTAGCAGACAGCGAGGTACAGAGGGTCAGGCAGAGGAGAATGGTCAGACAAGCCAGGGATCAGGAGCAGGAGAATGGTCAGACAAGCCAGGGATCAGAGCAGGGTCAGCAGAGAATCAGACAGGAACAGGAAACAGGGCCCAGGAGAAACACAACACCAAGGCAGAGTCTGCAGGTCTGAATGTCCCTTAAATACACCAGTATAATTAGTTCCAGGTGTTTGACTGGCTGCAAGGTTGAGTCTCTGATTGCTGGGAGCACCCGCTGGCCAGCCCTGGTACTGCAGCTCACAAGGCAGGTGAGTCCCACTATTGCTGGTCAGTCCATTCCTGACAAGATACAAAGCAAGATTAGTTGCCAAGGGATACTCCCAGAAATTTGGAGAAGATTACGATGAGACATTTGCTCCAGTTGTGAAACATTCTACTATAAGAACACTCCTTAGTATTGCTGCTGGAAAGGGAATGCAAGTAAAGCATCTAGATGTCAAAACTGCCTTTTTGTATGGAGACATCAAGGAGGATCTGTACATGGAACAGCCACCAGGCTTTGAGAAAGAAAAGAACCTTGTATGCAAACTGCAAAAGAGCATCTACGGGCTCAAGCAAGCGGCGAGAGCATGGAATGAAAAAGTGAACGAAATACTCAGAAAAGAAGGGTTCTCAAAAAGTAAAGCAGATCCATGTCTGTATTCAAAGAATCAAGAGAACAAATGGACATACATCCTAATATACGTCGATGACATCTTGACGTGTTTTGAACAAGAAGGGGACTATGACCAAATAGTTCACAAACTGAAACAAAATTTTGAAATTAAAAGAGTTGGGGAACATTACTCACTATCTAGGAATTCAAATAGAGCGGGAAGAGGATGGAAGCTATCTCTTCTTAACCAAAGTCATAAAATTACAGAAATGTTAGAACAGTTTCACATGCAAGATGCAAAGGAAGCAAAAACACCAATGGAACCAGATTATCTAAAAAACAATGGAACCGAAAACTTGTTACCTAACAATGATTATTACCGCAGGGCAATCGGAAAATTGCTATACATCGCCACCGTGACAAGACCAGACATCGCCCTAGCAGTGGGAATACTTTGCAGGAAAGTCGCAACGCCGTGTCAACGCGACTGGAATGCAGTAAAGAGGGTAATGCAATACCTAAAGGGAACAAATCGGATGAAGCTGCGACTTCCAGCATCGTCAAACCCAAAACTGATTGGATATGTGGACGCCGATTGGGCTGGAGACACCACTGACCGCAAATCTACAAGTGGTTACATCTTCCAGTATGGACAAGGAACCATAAGCTGGTCTAGTCGGAAACAAGTGACTGTTGCACTCTCTTCAACTGAAGCGGAATACATAGCAGCAGCACATGCATGTCAAGAAGCCGTTTGGATTCGTCAACTTCTACTAGACATGGGACTGAATATGTCACAACCCACACCCATCTTTGAAGACAATCAGGGATGCATAAAGCTTACACACTCTGAGAAGATTAACCCAAGAACCAAGTACATTGATGTAAGATATCATCTGCTCAGAGACATGCAAGAACAAGGGGTTATCGACATCCAGTACTGCCCATCAGAGGAGATGACTGCCGACGCACTCACCAAACCTTTGCCAAGGGAACGTTATTGTTTTCTACAAAAGAGACTAAATGTCATATAATTATGCTCATGCCGTTGAGAAGGGGTGTTGGGAATGCAACAGCATGTACTATAATGTACTATATATAGTATTGTGTGTTAATATCACTTGACCAGTAGATGGCACTATACACTAAAGGTTACTAGTTGTGTATATCTGAAAACTTGTTTGTTCCTCACTCTCTCTATCATCTCTTCAGGAAGTAATGAGTCTGTTATACTGTCTGCTGAAATGTGCTCTGTATGTTTGTAACTTAAGCCACACAAGTAAAGCCTGAATTCTGCCACATCACTACCAGTGTCTTCTATAACACATAACCAACAAATCCCCCCTTCACCAAACTTTACACTTGGCACAATGCAGGCAGGCAAGCACTGTTCTCCTGGCAACCGCCAAACCCAGACACATCTCATTGGATTGCTAGACAGAGAAGGGTGATTGGTCAAGCCAGAGAACATGTATCCACTGCTCTAGATTCCAATGATGGCGTGCTTTACACCACTGCATCTGACGCTTTGTATTGCACTCAGTGATGTAAGGCTTGGATGCAGCTGCTCGGCCATGGAAACCCATTCAATGAAGATCTCTATGCACTCTTGTTGTGCTGAAGGCCACACAAAGTTCTTTAGCTATTGACTCTGTAGACAGTTGGACTTATTGCACGGGTGGCAAAATCCTCTCTCGTAATAAAAGAGGTATAGACTCCAGAGAGAGAGATATCATTTTACCCCTGTACAAATCATTAGTAACACCTCATCTGGAATATACAGTTCAGTTTTGTGCACCGATTCACAAAAAGAACATCGGGGAACTGGAGAAAGTACACAGAAAGGCAATCAAACTGATAAGAGGCATTGTCAGGAATGGACTTGCCAATA